ACGGCCCAGGAGGCCCCCAGGAGGCCCCAAGACGCCCCCAAGAGGCCCCAAAAGGCCCCAACTGGCCCCCAAGGACCCCCCAAAGGCCCCCAAGAAGCTCAAAAGCTGCCTCAACATCAGCATCATCATCATCATCATCATCATCATCATCATCATCATCATCATCATCATCATCATCATCATCATCATCATCATCATCATCATCATCATCATCATCATCAGCATCGCCACCACCACCACCACCACCACCATCATCATCATCATCATCATCATCATCATCATCATCATCATCATCACCATCATCATCATCATCATCATCATCATCATCATCATCATCGTCGTCATCATAATCATCATCATCCTCGTCATCATCATCATCATCATCATCATCATCATCATCATTATCATCATCATCAGCAGCATCATCATCAGCATTATCGTCACCATCATCATCATCATCATCATCATCATCATCGTCATCGTCATCGTCATCGTCATCGTCATCGTCCTCGTCATCGCCGTCATCGTCGTCATCGTCATCATCATCACCACCATCATCATCAACAACATCATCATCATCATCAGCATCATCATCATCGTCATCATCATCATCATCCGGAGCGCCCCGGATCGGCGGCACTGGCCGGAGGCCATTCCAACAAACCTACCATGGGGACTCTCATCAAGACCTCCAGAACGCCGCCGCCGTGGTCTTGGTCTTTCTCCAGTTTCGTCCGTCGTCGTCATCGTCGTTCTGCGTTTGTTGCCGTTGCTCTGCTCTCGTCGCCGCTCGCCGTCGTCTCTCGTCGTCGTCGCCGCCACCGTCGTCGTCGGCCTGCCCCCGCGGCGGCCGGTGCCGCCGTTCGCCGTCATCGCCTCCGCCGCCAGGGTCGTCAATGGTCCTGTCTCGTCGTCGTTGTCGTCGCCATCGTCGTCGTCGTCGTCGTCGTCGTCGTCGTCGTCGTCGTCGTCGTCATCGGTCGTCGTCGGGTTCGTCGCCGCGTCCCGGGGTCGTTGGGTCGTCGCTCGTCGCCGTCGGTCGCCGTCCGCTCGTCGAGCTCTCGTCGTCGAGCGGCTCGCCCCGGCAGCGGCGGGCGCCGCCCCGAGCGCCGCCAGCACCGCAGAGGCGCGGGCCGCGAGGCCACCGGCGAAGGAAACGATGGCCTGCAGATCCGCCGCCGCGCGCCGCCGTCAAGCGCCTCTGTCGCAGCCCGCGGCGGCGCGCGCGGCCGCAGAAACGGCCTCCTCACCCAGAACCCCTCGAGTCATGAAAAAATCACGACGGGACGTTTTTCCTCACCGGGCCTCAAGACCGTCAAAGAACGACTCAGGCTGAGAAACCGGTCCCGGGGAATGGGTCTGGACCTCTAAGGTTAACGTCATGAAAAACTCATGGCGCCGGGGGTCTGGGCATGCCTCCTCCTCCAGTGGACCAGGAAGCAAACGATACCACGCCATCTGCGGCCCCACGGGCCTGAACATATGCCGTGAATCTGGCTTGCGCTTTTGCGTGGTGTACGCTGCGGCGCCCGATGGGCCGTAGCACATTATAGAGGGCCGTAGGAGGGGTGGTGTTGTTTGTTTATTGGTCGATCCAGGAGGATCCTGAGGCCGAGGAGGAGGCCAGGACGAGGAGGACGAGGAGCTCGCGGAGGAGGGCCCGGGTAAGAGCGGACGACGACGACGCGGTGAGCGCTGGCTTGCCGCGCGGCCGCGGCCCGCCGGTGCAGCAGCACGCAGCGTGTGCAGGCCTCCGCCCTCCTCCTCCTCCTCCTCCTCGTCCTCCTCCTCCTCCTCCTCCTCCTCCTCCTCCTCCTCCTCCTCCTCCTCCTCCTCCTCCTCCTCCTCCTCCTCCTCCCCTCCTCCCCTCCTCCTCCTCTTCTTCCTCCTCTTCTTCCTCCTCTTCTCCTCCTCCTCCTCCCTCCTCCTCCTCCTCATCCTCCTCCTCCCCCTCCTCCTCCTCCTCCTCCTCCTTCTCCTCCTATTCTTCCTCCTATTCTTCCTCCTCCTCCTCTTCCTCCTCCTCCTCCTCTTCCCTCCTTCTCCTCCACCTCCTCGTCCTCGTCCTCCTCCTCCTCCTCCTCCTCCTCCTCCTCCTTCTCCTCCTCCTCCTCCTCCTCCTCCTCCTCCTCCTCCTCCTCCTCCTCCTCCTGCTCCGCCTCCCTCCTCCTCCTGCCTCCCTCCTCCTGTCCTCCTCCTCTCCTCCTCCCTGCGTCCTTCTCCTCCTCCGCTCTCCCTCCTCCTCCTGCCTTCTCCTCCTCCTGTCTCCTCCTCCTGTCTCCTCCTCCCTCCTCCTGCGTCCTGCGGTCGGGCACGCTGGCCTCGCGCCTCGCGGCGGCGGCCCCGGCGACGCGCTGCGCCCTGCAAGCGGGCAGCGTGTCGCTCCGCTCCGCGGAGCGGGTGCTTCGAGCGGCTCGGGGCGCGGGCGCCTCGGGGGGCCGGGGCGTGGACGGCGTGTCGCGCTGGAGGGCGGTGGGCCAGAACCTGCGGCGCGACGTGCCAGGCCAGGGTTCCCGACCGCACGCTGCCATCCTGCTGCACGCTCTTCTCCCCGCCCTGCTCAAAGAACCCAGACCCCCAACGTCGTGATTTCGTTCGCGACCTGACCCCCAGGAGCCTGGACCCCTTCCTCGGGATCGGGTTTTCATCCTGGGTCGTTGGTGGATGGTCCCGAGGGCCGGTGAGGACCTCTGGAGGCCGAACATCGCGACAAAAACTCCCATCACGATTTTTTCACGCCGCTAGGGGGTCTGGGAACTTATCCTCTTGCAGTGTGCTCCTGCTCCTGCGCCGCCAGTCCGCCGACGACGTCTCCGCCGACGCCACGGTCGCCGTCGCCCACGCCGCGGTCGCTGCTGTGTCTGTCGTCGTCGAAGATGAAAAATCATAATAAGAAGAGAAATAGAGGAGGAGGAGGAGGAGGAGGAGGAGGAGGAGGAGGAGGAGGAGGAGGAGGAGGAGGAGGAGGAGGAGGAGGAGGAGGAGGAGGAGGAGGAGGAGGAGGAGGAGGAGGAGGAGGAGGAGGAAGCGGAGGAGGAAGAGGAGGAGGAGGAGGAGGAGGAGGAGGAAGAGGAGGAGGATCGGTAGCACCTAGGAGGAGGAGGAGGAGGAAGAAGAGGAGGAGGAGGCGGAGGAGGAGGAGGAGGAGGAGGAGGAGGAGTAGGAGTAGGAGGAGGGGGGGTAGAGAGGGAAAGGGAAGGCGATGAGGGAGAGGTCTGTTTGTCGTTGTTCCCCCTTTGTGGGCCCCCAGGGCCATCTGGAGGAGCCTTTTGCCTGGATATTCATAACCTCTGCGACATGTTCCGATGATATCTCATGGTCAGTGGGCCCCGCAGACGACATGGGTAAGAAGGGAAAGTGCCGTCAAGCATACACTAAGGTAACACTGAAGGGAAGAGGCCGGCCGGCCGGCCGACGCACGCGCGCGCCGCAGGATCGCTCCTGTTTCGCTTCCTTAGAGCCAAAGTAATATAGCTGCGGGAGCAGAAGTAGTCAGTCAGTACAGCAGGCAGACAGCACGCGCAAGGAGAGAGAGCTGTCAGGGCGAAAGGTTGGTGGTGCGGAAGGGGTGCATTGACTGCCCCCGCAAGGGGTCCGCAGAGCCGCCCCGACCCCCCAACCCACCTGGCCTGCACATATCCACAGCCACCGGAGCGAACCCCAAAGGATTTTCCGCTCAACGGTGGTTGCCAGGGGGCGGAAGGCCGAAGAAACCCGACGTTCCCGGCCTGAGCTAATATTTCCAGCTCAGGCCATGATGCCCGTAGACACCTGGGTGCGGGCCAGCATCGACTTTGTCGTACTGGTTCCATGGCGCTGCATCACCTTCTCCAGCGAACTCTCCATTCACGAGAGTCGTCCCAGGGATCGCTGTTGCTCCAGCGCCACTGGTTCTGATTCCTGGAGGAGCTGTCCTCTTCTGCTCGAGCTCCAGCCACTTGGCTCACTCTTGCCCCGGCCCTTCTCCGGCGGTCTCGCCTTCGGCGTAGGCGGCGGTGGAGGCTCTGGCAAGGTCGTCCAGACTAAACCATTGCCACGTTTTGCTGCGACCGGTGACTCGCTGATGCGGGGATGCAGGTGCACAGTGTCCTTGAATTTCTCCATTCTCGTTCTTGTCCTCGCAGTCGACGGTCGCGTCGTAGACGCCGTCCACGGCCGCCCCGGGGCCGCCGCCATCGCTCGCGCGGCCGCCGACCGGCTCTACAGCCAGTCTTTCAGGGATGGGCCCATCAGTCTTGCATTCGTCCGCCCACGACTGGATTCGGCCATGCTCGACCCAGCCAGCATGGGTTCCTGGCGCGGCTGGGCCGGCAGACGCAGGTTCATACCCTATCCTTCCCTGTGCCCAAGAATCCTGATCGATCCATGGGATCGATCATTTCCTCGATCTTTTGACTTTGGGCTGATGGGATCTATCTTTTTGCTCGATCCCCGCGCCTGAAGTTCTCGGGTACCGTGCCCGAAGTTTTCGGGCACCGTGCCCGAAGTTTTTGGGGGCCGTGCCCGATCTCACCGTGCCCGAAGTTTTTGGGGACCGTGCCCGATCCACCGTGCCCGAAGTCTTTGGGAACCGTGCCCGATCTCTGCGCCTGATCCCCGTGCCCGACGTTAGCAGACCCCTGCTGTGGTAGTGGTGGTAGTGGAAGTAGTCGTAGTGGGAGTAGTGGTAACAATGATAATGGGAGTAGTGGTGCAAGTGGTAGTTTTGGGGTAGTGATGAAAGTGGTGGGGAATAGGAAAGGGGTGATTTGCTTCCTAGGGCTTGCATCCTTAACGGGATGGGGAGGGGAAGGGGCACTTGCATCCTTGCATCCTTGCATCCTTGCATCCTTGCATCCTTGCATCATTGCACCGCGCATCAAGGGCGCACGCGCCCTTGCATCTGAGCGAACCTCTGAGCCCCCCTCGCCCCACTCACCTCATCCGCAGCCGTTTTGGCTTTTCAGGCACTGGCCAGATTTTAGCTTGCAGCTTTTGAGTTGGAGCTGGTGTTCGTGGCCATGGCATCGTGCGTGCCGAGGCAAGTGGCGAACCCAACAGTGTCCACCGACGCGCGCGTGCAGGCCATCAGAGGCCACATGGGCACTACGTACTTCTCGAAGTTTTTCGTTCCTGAGAGGTTGGCCTTTAGGCCTTCCCACGCCACCCCCGACTGCGCGATCAAGATCGCGCCCATCCTGGACGCCTTCGTGACTGCAGGCCTCGACAACACGACATTCCTGCCCAAGCGTTTCGAGGAGGCGCTGGAAAAGATTATGAAGGCTGACGACCACCCAGTCGGTATGTGCAGGAATACGTTCATTGGTCACCTTGTGAATCATTTCCAGTTAGTCATGAAGTTCATTCGCACGATGAAGTATGAGGACACCTGTGCCAAAATGATGAGGAAGTGCAAGAGAACTGGCAATTTTCGGAACAAGCTGAGCGGGGCCGACTCGATCGTCGTCCAAGGCATCCTCCGCGGATTAAGGTCAGCTCGGCCGATGCAGCGAGCGGCAGCGAGCCTGCGCACTCGCCTCCGCCAGAGTCTGCTTGGGCCGCGTCGCCTGCTAAGGCGTCTCGGGCGCTGTCTCCACCGACGTTTCCCTCGGCCACCGCGTTCGGGGGTGCGCCCCCTCTCGCGCCTTCGCCCTCCTCGGGGTTCAAGAAGAACTTTGGCAAGCAGACGCAGTGCAGGCCGGTGCGGGCGACCTTCTTGTGGAGCTCAGATGGAGAGTCCGAGAACGGCATCGAGGCAGCCGACGCCACGGAGCACGCCATCGCGTCCTTGACAGACCTGCTGGCAGGCGCTGCCGCAAAGGCCTCGTCAACGTGCGAGCCTGAGGCGTCAGCTATCCCCCTCGAGACCGCTGAGTCCCTCGAGGATGACGACTACGACGACAACGGCTTGCTCAAGGCCAGCGTTGGCGCGACCAAGGTCCGCGCGCTCATCCCGAACCCCGAGAAGAGGAAGAACCAGGTGTTGGGGACACGCCGCCGCAAGCGCATGAGGCGCCCAGCTGCCGCGTCGGGTGTGGGGCCTGCCGCGCAGGAGCAGGTGGGGGAATCCGAAGAGCCACCGCAGCCCGAGCCTGTGCTCAGGAGGCCTGCCGCGATGACGCCTCCATCGAAGTCCCCGAGACCTGACGTGGGCAAGAGCGCGGCCAAGGCCGAAGTGGACACGTTCAACGTGCCCTTGGAGAGGTCGGCTCTGGTCGGACCGACTGCGGAGGAGAAGCCGAGGTACGAGTTGTGCGCGTTCATCACGCACGGCGGCCGCCAGAAGCGGGCGCACGTCTGGTCTTCGACCGAGACGACGTGCGGCCCGAACCTCGGCGACCACATGCGTCAGATTGCAGAGGAGATCGACTCCAATCACATTTCCAAGAAGCAGTACCTGGAGATTCGTGATGGACTCAAGGCGTAGGTGGCGAGCTGTATGGCGTTTGTTTCGGCTGCACAGCTAGCCTTTTAGTTTCGGGAGGGATGGGGGCTGGAGGAGGCGAGTGAGGGAGGCGGGAGGAGGAGTCGACATTTCAGCTCTGCCGCAGGGTCGGGGCAGAGTTCGGGTTCTCTGCGAGGCCGGCCTGTGCGCGTGATGAAATATGTTGGCAGGCAAGGTCGCTCGGCGCTGAGGTGCGCTGCTGGCCATGCTTATTCCGCAGTTAAGCAGTTGATGCAGCAGGTCCGCAGTCCACCATCACATGCCGTCAGAATGACCTTGTTAACCTCACTTCGTTCCTCAACCTTCTCAGGCCCCATGGCATCCAAATGACGATTGTAAGAACTTATGAGAAGGGTGCATGGGGCTGGAGGGTGTATAGCAGCATCGCTGATGCATCCTGGGTTCTCTCTGGTCCTTATCCTTCTCCTCCTCGTCATCCCCCCTCTCCTAAACGTAATCTCTAGGCTCGGCCTCTCCACGGGTTCCCCCCCTTGTCCTTGCTGCCCCCTAGCCCTGCCTGTGCCCTTGTGGGCGGCGGAGTGGGGGGGCCTAGTGGAGGGCCTCACCCATCCCTTAGGTGGGTGGCCATGCCCATCGAGCGTGCTCGTCTGGTCGTGCTCGTCGAAGGCTGTCCGAGGTATCGCACTTGCTTGAGGTAGCTTCTAGACTGATCATTTCTGGATCACGAGCCGCGTCCAGCTGTTTTTCGGGTCTCTGGGGTCGCCTGGCCCGCTCCTGGGCTAGAATTCCGATGAGGAAGGTTGGATTGGCCAACTCCTGGTTCAATCGGGCTCTATTTCCAGCGTAGCAAACCATGGCACGAGACAACAAACAAACAAACCATGACACGAGACAACAAACCATGACACGAAACGACAAACAAACCATAACACGCGAAAAGAAACAAACCAGGACACGAGACAACAAACAAACAATGACTCGAGACAACAAACAAGTCATGACACAATACAACAAGCAAGCGCACCATAACACGAGACCACAAAGAAATGCACGAGCTCGGGACAACGCAGACACGAGACAAACAACACACAACCATGACACACACCAACCACAACATGACACCGCGGAGCCATCCTATCCCCCCACCACATCGGGAACAAACCTTCACAACCGCAGTGCGTGTACACCAACATGACAACAACAAACAGCCATGGCACGAGACAACATTTCGACTCGAGCTCGAGTGAGTGCGAAAGCTGATTGCACGGCGGTCAGACAGCTGCAAACCCGACTGTTACCATGCCGGCCAAGAAGCGCCCTGCTGGTCACGCTGAGGAGCAGGTCGGGAAGAAGCCAGCTAGCGCGCAGCCTGAGGACTGGACGCTGGCGAAGGTGGACACGGGCGATCTCGTCGAAGACGAGGATGCGCCAGATGGGGTCTATGATGACAGGACTGCCAGCAGGGCGCAGCGACACGTCTTCGAGCACAACGAGTCGAGGATCGATCCAGACGGCTGGAAGCGCTACTGGGACCTCCGTTCCAAGGACTGCACGGAGGCGGGCAAGACGAAGGCGGCCAACGCGATCATCAACGCGTACGTGCCGAGGAGCGTCTCGCACAAGGGCCAGATCGAGCAGAAGGTGAACACCCTGGAGCAGATCACCACCAGGTCCACCGTCAAGGCGGACAAGGACAAGCAGGTCGGCCTCAAGAAGAACACGTTCATCGCATCCGTCTTCCACGGGAACCAGACCTTGTTCGACCAAGCCAAAGCTGAAGGCGAGGCGCGGGAGGAGAACGGCTTCTGGTACCACGACAAGAAAGAGCGGAGCAATTCGCAAATCATTGCCAAGGATAAGATTGCCACCCAGAGGGACGTGATCGTGCACGACGAGACGCTGATGGCCATCATGGCTGAGATGCACGAGGGGGCAGACACTGCGACGAGGTGGAAGGCGCTCGGTGATAAGATCGAGAGCGGTTCGGCGCCCAGTCGCTTCCAGAGCGAGGGGAAGAAGGCGACTGAGGCCGACATGAAGCTGCTGCAGGAGTGCTTCGACTCGGTGACGAGGCTCACCCTGGGCGTCCGCAAGGTCGGCACGAGCTTGGTGCAGAAAGCGGGCAACGAGGCCGTGTGCGACGTGGCTCGTCAGTGGACCGAGAAGCTGAAGTCGCTGGTGAAGCCGACGCAGGCCGCGGAGATCCCCCTGACGCGCCCTGCGGAGAATGTCATGGCGAAGGAGGTCGCGACGGCCATCGAGGAGACCGCCACGCCGTACAGGGAGTGCCTCGACTACTACAGGGAGTTGGAGCGCATGTACGAGAGCCACGTGGGCAAGATCTCGAAGAGCGACAAGGCGATCACCGCCAAGAAAAAGTGATCAGATCATGAAGCTGTGCCCGTCTTTTTTGTGCCTTCAACGGATCCAGATTTACCTGGTCCGCCAGACTCCGAGGCCAACTGCGGCGAACCGCATCATAGACTCATAGTAAATTTATGGTAAATTCATAATAAATTTATGGTAAATTCATAGTAAATCCTAAGATTCACTATGAATTTACTATAAATTTAATATAAATTTACCATGAATCTACGATAGATGTACAATCGATTAAACATGTTGGCATGACGCAGGGGGTCTGATTCAGCATTTCAGGTCTCGGGAGTCACCAGTAATGAAAGGCCGAACAGGCTGATCAGCAAGTTTTTTTTTGCCGCGCGCGAGCCCCTCGCGCCATCGCCCTAGGACCAGGAGGAGGGGGATGGGGGAAGAGGACGAGGCGGAGGAGGAGGAGCAAGAGCAACACAGGGAGGAGTTGTGGTCGAATTGCTGGCGTTAGTGGGCGCTTTGGAGCTCCTGCCGCTCAGAATGCCCAGAGTGCCGCCGTCGGAGTCGCTAGCACCAGAGGGCTCTCCTGCCCCATGCCGTTCTGCGGTGGACTCGGCGGCGTTGGCGCGAAGCTCCGAAGGGGAAAGGTCGCAGGCCCGAGATGGCCGCATCGAGAAAAAAACAACTACTGATGACAAGGTGGCCTGCTTCTTCTCATCCCCGAACTCCTCCGCGCCCTCCCCCTTGGGCCCCCCATTGGGGTCTCGGCGGGCCCCCTCAGCGTGGAACGCACACGCGCACGCACAAGCACGCACGCGCACGCGCGCGCACACACACACACACGCACACACACACACACACACACGCACACACACACACACGCACACACACACAAACACACACACACGCGCACGATACACACGCACACACAAGTGGAACAGTTTGCTGCGTGCCGCGGTTGCTCCCTTGGTGCTCCTGCAGGATCGCTGCGAACCCCCGCTGGGCTTGTTTGCGGCGCGTGCGTGCGCGTGTGTGCGGGGGGGCCCTGTAGGTTCGCAGCAGAAGCCCGCTTGCAGAAGCCCAAGGTTCGTTGCCTCTTGGTAGGTTAGGGCATGCGGAGAGTGCTGTAAGTGTTGGATGGGCATGGTGTGAGGCGTCGCTCTATAACTTCCCCGTGGGCTGTGACATCGCTATATAACTTTCCCGTGGATTACGACATCCCTATTTAACTTTCTCGTAGGTTACGACATCGTTATATAACTTTCTCGTGGGTTACGACAGCTCTATATAACTTCCCCGTGGGTTACGACATCGCTATATAACTTGCCCGTGGGTTACGGCATCGCTATATACCCTTCCCGTGGGTTACGACATCGCTATATAACTGTCTCCTGGGTCTCCTGGGGTGCTGGGGTTTGGTGGGGCAGTTTGCGATGGGGGGGAGTCCGACCTTTCTCTCCCTCCCGCCTCCCTTGAGGACCTCGCCCCGCTCTTCCCCTCCGTCCTCCCCTCCCCAGATTTCTGGGGATGTCTCGCAAAATTCGCGACCGGGATTAATTCATCTCGGTCATAAATCGCTCGGGACTTTCGCACGCCCCCAAGGGGGCCCCGAGGGTGCCCAAGACGAGGGGAAGCGAGGACAGGCGCGAATATGATGGGTTTCACTTGGTCAAGACTTGTGCCAATAAGGGAATCGAAAAGCCATTTCGGAGGGGTCTATCATGGACGAAAATTGCACCGTGGCCATGGCGGGAGGCATAGTTGGACCACGTTCTAAGAGCGCCCCACGACGGCCCAAGGGGCCCGCAAGAGGCACCCAAGACGGCCCACGAGGGCCCCACGACCGCCCAAGAGGCCCCCCCCAAGACGGCCCATGAGGGCCCCAAGACGGACCCAAGGCAGGCTCAATAGGGGGACCAAGGGCCTCAACGGGCCAACGCGCGTTCGCATTCGTTCGCGTTGGAGCCGTAGCAATTTTGGCGCCCGCCCCCTAAGAGAAAACGACATTACGACAGAGTGGGTTCGATGGCTGCGCATTCTCTTCGAGTCGCCACAGGCGGGCGCATTCAGAGGCTCCGTTACCATGCAACGCTGGACGGACAAGCACGAGGTTCCGATCGCACATCTGAGTTTTTGTTTGATTCACAATCTGCACATTACCTCGTGGAACAGTGGTCGTTAGGCTTGCTTTCAGCCAGGAAAATACAAGTAATTGCGAACCACCAGAGGAAAGACATGGAAGCAGTGTTGACGAATCTCGGTGCGCCTTTAACGAACGTGCCAAAATCTTTGGTTGCTTTGTCTGAGCTTGGATCTCGCGGGCTGCACGGCAACGCTAACCGTGGCCTTCTGAGGTTCTTGGGTGCTCCAGACACACCCCCTGCCGAGCTTCTCCCTATCCAGACCGAGGTGATAAAACCGCGAGAAACTGAAGGGGAAGTTGACGTGACGCGCCAGCCGTTTATGTTTCCACACATTCAGTTTTCACATCCTCACAAATACAAGCCACATGTTTTTTCGGCGGAGGTTTCTTGGGCCCGATGGGTCGCCCGACAAGCTGGAAGATTTCTGGACAAACGTAGAGAGGGTGAACGATCCCCGTTTACATGGGCATCCAATGACAAAACGGCCAAATTGGAAACGCAATTCAATACCAATTCTCATACACGGAGACACAGTGCCAGTTGTAG